CCCAAAACCCCAAAACCCCAAAACCCCAAAACCCCTTAGGCCAAATCTGAGATTGAAAAATGACTTAAAGAAGAAACAGTAAAATTTAGAAAAGCAGAGCCAAGAAGGATTTTAAATGGGTCTTTATGAAGACGAATAATATGGAAAATCAAAGGTTGAGCACTTGGCAAGGCGAGGTAGTGGTAACCGCTCCCCTCTCCCCTTCTCTTCCTGAAACTGCACTCCAGAGCTTACTCCCTGCACCCTTCCTGCGTAATCTTAGTCACTTCGTACTGGAGCACTGGCTCCTTCCTAGCCATCTTGAAGTGATCCAGGCTGGTCGGGTTTTTATAGGCAAGAGTTTCAGACTTTGGAGCAGAGATAGAGGAGAAAAGCTTCTCTTCTTCAGAAGAGATTTCAGTGGAGAGCTTGAATGGAGGGGGATTATCTGAAGCGTCCATAGGTCTCTTTATTTGGTAAACGTTGTTGTAAGGGGGCTGAGAGATGGGGTTAGAGGCTCCTTCACTGTCCATCTCGTCGATCTCTTGGGAGTCATTTCATCCGAAGTTTTGGGAATCTGGGAGATTGTAAATTTCAACACTAGCACTGACTATGGGAGTCGAGTCCTGTTCAAGGATTTTCTGTGATCCTGAAGTGTCAGAGCCATGGAAAGATACGACAGGGGTGTCTTGACTTTCACTCTTGCCTTCACTGATTTCTTCCATCAGAATAGAACTGTTGTCCTTATTTTCACTCCTTTTTGAAACATCCATTTCATGCTTGATGGTTTTGTTAACTCTCATCTCACTTGATTTGGTGGGAGCCATCAATCTACTAGAGAATCCTTTTACTTTAGTAGTTGCTCTTGAATTTGAAGAGCTATTCCTATGATTCAGCGACACCATGCTGTCACTCTTTATATAATCTTTAGAAGTGTTAAACTGGTTATGCTTCACTTTGGCTATGAATTAGATTAGGATTAGCAACTTACAGTTCCTTGTCTCCTTAGAGTCCTTTCATCTTTTAGCACTCTGGTCGTACTTCTTCTTGCATATCTTACTTTTCCTTGCTCCTGGGCTTTTCGGAATCAAAATGTCATCATTCTTATCTTTGAATTCGTTTCTGATGAATTGTAGTAGGCTAAACTTTTCCCTTTTGAAGCTGAACCCAAGCTTAGATTTCTGATTGAGAATATCACTTTCTAGGACTTCAGTATGATTCTTGATTCAGTCTTCAAAATCCTGCTTTTGCTGGAGGAATTTAATCGCTGAATGATTTCGATCTTCTGATGAATGTCTTTCTTCTCAGATTTTAAGGACGTTGAGCACTTGCTGAATCTTCTCCTGGTCTTGATGCAGCTCTTTATTTATACTCATTATAGATCATCTCTAGGGCTTGGATGTTATGAACTCTTCTAGCTTCGATCTTCTTGAAGATATTAGCGTAGAACTCATTTGCATGTTCCACAGAGTTTTTGTGCAAAATCTCTATTTCATCAAGAACTTTTGCGATGTTATCTGATGTGGCCAACAAGTTATCCTTGCTTTTAATAACTTTGGTGATTTTGTTCTTTAAGTATTGCCTATGGGATATCACTGAGGCAGAAGGACACTTACTGTTGTTCTGAATAAGCCTTTGAGAGAGAGACATAATCATATTGCTTAGGGTTGTTTTCGAGGATGCACTTTACTCAGAGTAATTTATTGTTCTTTCTACAGTATCCTTCCACTATTTTCTCAGGGTGTTTATCTCAGGTAATAATCGCTCCACCTTGTGATTGCTCGGCTGGATCGTAGAGCACTGTCTTTGAGAGCTCGTTATTGTTCCGATAACTCTTTCTGTCCGAGGGAAGTTTATTGAGGTTTTCTTTAGATTTCGACCCTATTGTGTTTCTTTGGGTCAACATCAAATGGCCTATACAATATTATGACAAATTAATGTACTTTTAGAATGTCCAATTTTATAACTCTTAACTCCTTTTTTCTTGGATTTTCGAGAGCCACTCTTTATATTGATCCATAAAGAGCTTTAATAGAATTCTTGGTCTGCCTAGATTTACTAGATCGCGAAGTTATGCTAAACAATTGGTTTGTAAACTCGACTATATAATATAAAGGGAAAATTACCAGTGCCTTTGGGGCTCTTTTCCAGTCCTTCTCTTTGTTTGAACTTGCTCTTGACTCCTTTCTTTGAAGAGTGCTTGAGATCTTTGATAACTGGCTTCATTAATGGTCTATAAAATTGATGCCTAGATAAAAACAATTAAAACTTTTAATTTGGGGTTTTGGGGTTTTGGGGTTTTGGGGTTTTGGGG